GCGATTGACTTTACGGATGTGTGCCTATTTACTAGGCTATATGCCGGACTGCCTTCCGGTTCCGTATCGGAAATCAAAATCACTTTGTGCGAAGTCGCGATTTCCTGATTGGGTACTTCTGTGGCGTCGGAGTCGGACTCCTCGCTCGTGTAGTACTCCTCTAAATTTCGGCGGACACGGTTTCGTCTATTTCGCGGTATGCGTTTGACAGTGTGTGAGCTTCGCGGATTTTCGTTCGCTTTTCGGGCTGCTTCGCTTAACAGCCTCCACGAATCAATTTCGCGCGGTGTCGCAGGGCCACTCCCTGACATCTACTTTTATTTGTTTCGGTAATTTCGCTCGCTTTTACAATAGTCTTAATTCGACTTACATTAGACGCATGTTGATTTCTCGGTCAATCCTGCTGTCGTAGTTCAGTGCCGCTCGGGTGTCGGCTGGTTGAGGCTGGTCAGGGCTGCTTCTCCGGTTTCCCTCGGCGTTATCGCTCGGCGGCTGCTACCGTCGGCTGCTACCGGGTGTCCGTGTCGTTCGCAGTCCTCCGTTAGTCCTCGTTGTCTTTGCTCAGCTGTTCCTTGGTCCTCTGAGGCTGTGTTCTCGAATCCGATGTTCACAATCCCAGTACCGCTGTTTCTTGGTCCTCTGAGGCAGTGTTCTCGACTCAGTTCACAATCCCAGTACCGCTGTTTCTTGGTCCTCTGAGGCAGTGTTCTCGACTCAGTTCACAATCCCACCGCTGCCACCACTTTTGTTGCCGCGCCGCTCCGTGCGCGGTGTATATTCCTTCTTGCTCGCTCCGGAGGTGTTCTCTGACGAGAACCGAAGGGTTCTTTGATGGGATGTGGCTGGTCGGAGGTCACTTCAAAGAGGCACCGTTTAACTATCACTATGTGACTTTATTCAGCTGAGTGTTACACTGATGGTTCACGGCAGGCCGAAGGCCTGACGGACAAATGCTTAGCGCATAAACGTATAGTATCGAATGACGCGTGATTGACAAGTGCCCCGATCTCGGGCTTTCCTCCGGTTTTAAACCCGATGATCGAAGCGTCAGCGTTCTCGGTACTCGATCGAGGCTATGCGTAATCGGGTCGAGAACTTGCTGACTTCTTCTCCGAATTTAGTTAGGTTGCGCGGTCGGGCTTTTGTGGCTCGATCGCGCAATATGCTTACGCTAGTGTTATTCTAATTGCAGTAATACTGCTTGAGTGCCCTCGTTACCTCTTTCGGCAATCGGGGCACAACAATTACAATATGTATGTAATAGCACAAGTTAAGAAATAAACTAAGCATCCTATTTCTCATCATACAGCAACTACAAAGTTTTCTACATTTTCTTGTATTTTTCTTACATTGTAAATGATTTTGTGTAAACATTAAAAATTTCTGAAATACATCAAGTTGACACTTACTCATTGTATGGATAGCTAGTAATTAATAAATAAATTGAAATATCTACTTACGTTCGCTCTCATTGCTGGACTCGCTTAATGTGTCGTTGTCGCTATACAAAGGTGGTACCTTCAATAGTGTTTTTTCCAAATTGTGGTCAGTCTTAATCGCTTTAAGTTTATTGTTTTTTGTCAGAACGCGATCGAGTTTTACCGTGATCACTCTCTGTGGAATATGCATACTCCTTGTCCTCGAGTTTTTTAAATTTATCCACAGCTAATTCATAAGTTTCTGGATATATTAACATTAAAAAATTATAAATATAAACTAATATAATAAAAATGATCGTGTGTTCAAACAATTACATATCATAAATTAGATATTAAATTAAATAAAGATTACATATCTGAACATTAATAAATTAAATTTGCTCATAAAATATTGAGTACCGTAGAGGAAACTTAACAAAAACTTACTGGCATCACCGACTATATTTATATCATAGGATGGCCACAATTTTGGTGGTTCTGCCCTACTTTTTACGAGAGAATGTAATAATTCTACTGTTTCATCTACATATGGTGGTGGCATGAACACTGTTTTCAAGTTTCCAGTTGCATTATCGTAAACAATCCATTCACATGGTACAACATCTACACTTCGACCTTTGCATTTATCTTTGGCTATAAACTCTATAAGTTTATAAATTCCGTTGGTTTTTTCCATAATCTACAAAATAAATATTATTTTATTTATTTTATTTAAATTAAGAAGAAAAGTGAATATTACCATACATTAAGTAAGTAATAATGTAATTGAATATTGACATATATAATTGCAATATCTATAATTAAAAGAAAAGTATTATCAAATTGAGACAATACCCAGTGAGAAATGATTCGTCGATCGACATCATTTCGACGTCGATCGACGAATCGTTTCTCACCGGGGTATACACGTATAATATTTACAGATGAAAATTATGAGGTTAAGGCCGGCTATTATTTCAGCCTGCGTAAGATAGGTGCAATCAAATTTTACGAAATTTCTACTTTAAAGCGAAAAATGTTCTCAACATGTATAAAATATTTCATTACGCAGCCAGAAATAACTCGTCGATCGACGTCGAAACGATGTCGCGTCGACATCGAAACCGCCATATTGACGTCGATCGACATCATTTCGACGTCGATCGACGAATCGTTTCTCACCGGGGTATACACGTATAATATTTACAGATGAAAATTATGAGGTTAAGGCCGGCTATTATTTCAGCCTGCGTAAGATAGGTGCAATCAAATTTTACGAAATTTCTACTTTAAAGCGAAAAATGTTCTCAACATGTATAAAATATTTCATTACGCAGCCAGAAATAACTCGTCGATCGACGTCGAAACGATGTCGCGTCGACATCAAAACCGCCATATTGACGTCGATTCGACAGCGTTTCGACGTCGATCGACGAGTAATTCCTGACTGGGTAACTAACATACCTGGGAAATCTATTTTCTTCTTCCTACTCAGTCACGCCGCTAGTCACACCGCTAGTCACACCGCTTCACTTCTTCGCTTAACGAGATTCTGGCCGGCTGATACAATTCTCGTCGTAGAGCGTAGCCGCTCGGACCATAGACATCTATGGACGGACCCTTTGTACGAGGGGTAACTGATAATCGCGGTAAGGGGATCACTCGTCTGACTTCGACTCTTTCCGGTGAGATTCGGTAATATTCGGTTCACATTTCC